AAAAGCTAGAAAAATAAACTCTTTTTAGCATACAAGCCACAGCAGTTTTTTCATAATAGTTGTTGTAACTTCTGGAAAAAATTTTTAAGAAGATATAATCTCTTTGTTGGAATACTAAAATAAAAAATGATGATATTTACCTTGACCTTTTAATAATGTATTTTGGAACTTGACTAGATATGGGCCAGTATAAGATTCTGACAGTATATGATAACCTTGGATGAAAATATCACAATTTCACTGTATTGTGATCGCTGCTCTAAAATATATTATTTTTAAATGTCTGATTAAAATACATAAATAATTTTTTTAAATCCCATTTGAACAAAATATATTTTATTTTGAGAAACTTTTAAAATATTTTGGAACAGTAAACATGTCAGGTTAAATAATTCAAATGAATCGTTGACTTAGGCTATCTTAATTAGTTTAATAATTCTATAAGTCATATAAATCGATATCTGTACAATTAAAAAAGGCATCTTTGCATATCTTTTCTGCTAAAGATATTGTTATCCTTAAAAACAAAATAAATAAATAAATAAATAAATAAATCTTATGTATACTTTAGGAACTGTATAGCATTAGCATTAAGTAAATTTTGGCTGTTTTATAACTTTGGCATTTCCAAATCGCAGTATACCTTGAATATGGTCATCGTCCCATGCCTTAACTTGACCACACCATATTTATATTTAAACTGTAATATATTAACGTTACTAAATTACAAAGAGTGATATTGAGTGATTAAGTAGCGCTAAATTATAATAAATATTGTGTTGATTTATAAACTACCCCTAACTTAAATCTTCAATTCTTGGAGAAACATTTTCTTATAATCAACTATAACGTAACGTTACATGTAAATAAGCAAATATTATAAATAGTAACAGCAATAATAAAGACTTACATAAACTTCTATATTTAAGTGCTATATTGAATGCAAAACTGGAGTTTAAAAAGGTCAGGCAGGTAAGATAAGACAAAACTATAACTGATAAACATTCCATCAACACATAAAACCAAAGGTCTCCTCAATCAAATGAATCAACATTCATGAACTGATATGATTAATACTAGCCACTACAATGGCGATAGAACCGAGCTCACAGTTACTAACTTTATTTAATCCATATGATCCTCTAAACGAGTATCTTAGTCTGTTCCCTATATTTAGATAAACACTGCTGTCGTTTACAAGGATGTGTAAAATCCACGTCTGTCAGTTAGCAACAGCACGGAAAAGCCCAACCTCGCCCTGTCTCCATTTAATCCTGCCTTGAATCTACAGCAGGATCCGTGTTTACGCTTCAACAAAACTCCATGTCCATAAACACGCGCGCGCACACAAACAACAGATGTGCGAAAAACACCAATTTCTCAAACTACTCACTCGGTTTATTATCGCTGAAGTGGTTCGGTTCAGCCCATCTCCTCCTGCTCGAGTCCCCGTTCACAAACTTCACGGGTGTTTTTCCTGCAGGAGCGGAAGTGGCTGCATACGTCACCACGCCAGGTTGAGTGTGCCCGATTTTTTTCTTTTTCGCCTTTATACTTTCGTACAGACTAATTTAAAATAGCAATATTTATTTTTTGTACTGTTCCTGGGGATGAATTAGAAGTCATGAACGTTTTCCACATAATAAGGATAAAATGTAATCAGTATAAAAATATCTTTACAAAAGAGTAATTACTAGCCAAGTAATTAAACAGTACTAAGGAAAAAGGAGCAAATTTGGAATATTAGCAGCCACATTAAGCAACCAAAGAATAAACTGTGCTCGAATAAACGAGTCAATTAACTTAGATATAATGTTCTTTCCCCATTATTTTCCTGATTTATCATCATTAACCCTCATAACAATTAACATAATGTAAATAAATGAAGACCAAAGTAGTAAAATAGCTTGAATCAAAGCATCTTTCAGAAAAAAAGAGCCTTAATTGTCTACAAAAATGTAAAAATTCTAAAGTAATTAAAAAACATGCTCATGGAAAATCATGTTTGGTGTAGTAGTATTGTTTGCCAATCAAATGATGCTTGCTGACCTATCACTCTCAAATAAGTCCATATAAAAATGGCAAAATGTCCGGTTTTAATATGAAGTAATTTTCCAGAATTGTTAAGCAAGCATCGAATGAAGGAATGAAACAGACATAATACTTAACATAAATATTCATTTTCCTTCGGCTTAGTTCCCTTTATTCATCAGAGGTTGCCACAACAGCCACAACTAACTTATCCAGCATATGTTTTACACAGCAGATGCCCATCCAGCTGCAACCCAGTACTGGGAAACATGCACACTCATTCACACACACATACACTATGGCCAATTTAGCTTATTCAATTCACCTGCACCGCATGTCTTTGGACTTGTGGGGGAAACCGAAGCACCCTGAGGAAACCCACGCGAACGTTGGGAGAACGTGTTTCCCCAATTACTGCGGTATAGGTGAATTGGGTAGGCTAAATTGTCTGTAGTGTATGTGTATGAGTGTGTATGAATGTTTCCCAGAGATGGGTTGCGGCAAGAAGGGCATCCGCTGCGTAAAAAATGTGTTAGATAAGTTGGCGGTTCATTTCGCTGTGGTGACCCTGGAATAATAAAGAGACAAAAAGTCAAAATTGAATAAAAGAATGAATTATTAGCCCCTATAAGCTAAATTTGTTTTGGATTGTCTCCAGAACAAACCATCATTATACAATAACATGCCTAATTACCCTAACCTGCCTAGTTAAACTAATGAACCTAGTTAAGCCTTTAAATGTCACTTTAAGCTGAATAGAAGTGGTTTAAAAAATATCTAGTCAAATATTATTTACTGTCATCATGGCAAAGATAAAATAAATCAGTTATTGGTTATTAAAACTGTTATGTTTAAAAATGTGTTGAAAAAATCTCTCTGTCAAACAGACATTATGGGAAAAAAATAAACGGGGCTAATAATTCTGACTTCAACTGTATATAGGTGCTACTAATACACAAACTCTTGACACAGACAGCAAACCTTAAATAGATATATAGAATAAATAGATAAATTAGAATCTGTCAATTAGGCTATTTATGTATGTATACAAAAATCTGAAATCTGAAGGTGAATCTTTGTTCCGTGGAAAATTTAAAGTTCTAAATTCAGAAATTCTGTATTACATAAAACATATGCTGAATAAGTTGGCAGTTCATTCCGCTGTGGCAACCCCAGATTAATAGAGGGAGTAAGCCAAAAAGAAAGTGAATGAAAGATTGAGTTTTCATATGTATTCCAAAACCGTATAATATGATGTACACAATATGTAAAACAAATGTTAATATGTGCATTATCAATATTGAATAATAAATACAAGAATGAGTCACTTGTCAGTTGTTCTCAGGGAAGAGCAGCTGCGTGATCATTTGATCATATCATAAATGCAAATTTGAGGCAGATTTTATCAGTCAATTGACAACAGGATCTATTTAACAACATAGTCAGCTGTGTGTTTTCCATGACTCTAGTTTTTTATGATATACAGTTGAACTCAGAATTATTAAACCACCTGAATTATTAACCCCCTGTTTATTTGTTTCCCCAATTACTGTTTAACATAGAGCAGATTTTTTTCAACACATTTCCGAACATAATAGTTTTAATAACTTATTTCTAATAACTGATTTATTTTATTTTTTGCCTTGATAAAATTAAATAATATTAGACTAGATATATTTTTTAAGAAACTTCTTTACAGCTTTAAGTGACATTTAAAGGCTTAACTAGGTTAATTAAGTTAACTAGGCAAGTTAGGGTAAATAGGTAAGTTATTGTATAATGACGGTTTGTTCTGTAGATAATCGAAAAAAAAAACATTGCTTAAAGGGGCTAATAATTTTGACCTTTTTGGTCGCACGGAATAAACCGCCAACTTATCCAGCACATGTTGTACGCAGCAGATGCCCTTCCAGCTGCAACCCATGTCTGGGAAACATCCACACACACTCATTCACACTCACACACTATGGACAATTTAGCCTACCCAATTCACCTGTACCAAATGTCTTTGGCCTGTACGGGAAACCGGAGCACCCAAGGAAACCCACGCCAACGAGTGTGTGTGTGTGTGTGTGTGTGTGTGTGTGTGTGTGTGTGCATATATATACTTTTAGCTGCAAAACTTTGTAAGCATTTAAATATTTTAAATAAATAGCAATAAACAAATAAATGTAAAAATTCAAGTTTAAAAACATTAAATGAAAAATTAAATATGAGAACATTTTTAATAATAAAACATAATTAAGACAAAAGATCATGTAGTTTCTCTAGTATGTGTGCAATTGTATTTGCATAAACTATATGTGTATAAACTTTAGCGAAAAATGCAAGTAGTTTTATGCAAAAAAAGAAATGAGAACATAAACCCATTTATATAACGTAAGTGTCAATTTAAAAAACATTTAAACAACTATTTATCTAATGCCTATAAGAATTACAATTTGTTCTATTATCATTTTAAATGACCATAGTGTAAGCAAAAAAAAAAAAAAAACCTTTAGCACAGCTAGTGCTTCAGAAAGTGTCTGAAAGGACTTTGGGACAACCAATGGTTTGTATATTATGGTTTTAAAGCTGCAGGTTTTATTTGCATTAATCTTCTGTTCATATCAGCTTTAATGTGTATAATGATAAGAACTCAGTAAAATTAAATTACAAAAACTGCATATTTATTTCCATTCCTGAATTCAAATGTCATATTTAAAAATGGGTAGAATTTTAGTATTATCAAAAACTTAGTAGACAATGTGTGCAAATGTTTAATTAACCTATACTGTTGGCAGTGTAATCTATGATCATTGGGCCATTTAAATTGACACAACTGTGTCAACAAATACATCCACATACAGCTGCGACTTTTACACGATTTATGCTACTTCACAACCTATTCCCAGCATAGGATCCAGGATATTGCGTCATAAGGAAATAATTCTTAGTGTGATTTTGAGTATATAAAGTGATGATTAAAATTGTGAAGCCAAGCTTGGTCAGAAGAGAAAGATGGAAGCTCTGAATATTCTTCTGCTTCTAATTGGCTTTTATGGTAAGAATATTATTCATAGGCAATGAAGGTATATATAAATATAATAATATAAATACATCAATGCACGTAAAGACATGTTTAACAGTCATTTGTTTTTGTCACATTACAGCAAATGCTGCTCAGTCATACTGGACAACAGGTAAGCATATTATTATTTTATATTATATATTGTCACAGGAGTTATGCATATGCATATTTTAACAAATGGAATAATCAATTCACATTTTTTTGTTTTATAGCAGACTATGACTGGTGGTATTCCACTGACGAGACAATCACTACACGTATGTACTATCTGTCTTTCTATCTATGTTTCATATTTAAAATACATTAAGCATTTAATGGTAATTAAATTACTATTACGTGAGGATCATTTATGAATTGTATTGTGTCAGAACACTAACAGCATTACTAGTTATTATGTCATCACAGAACTGTGAGAATAAAAGGGACAAGCCACGAAGAACAATACAATTATAGAATTTACAATACAATACATAATTTCTGATTCTCACAAATAAATGATTTATATAGTCATACATTCATTTATTGCATTGTGGATATTATATATTTTCCTGTCTTCTAGCTTTGCCCTCCTGCAGATACAACTGTGGATACAACCTCGGCAGCTGTTCATGCCGCGGCAACTGTCACACCTATGGCGACTGTTGCCCTGACTACGACAGTGAGTTTTCCTCGAGCAGAAACTATAAGATAGATTTTAGACACAAATCTCTATTGTATTGCACACATTTTTGTAATTCCATACATGCAATTCATGTTCATCTAATGTAACTTCATGTCTTACCTTTATACAGACCATTGCGATATGATCACCGATTGGCCGGATACAACAGGTGCATCTACAAATTTCCTATTTGTCCATCTAACTGATACAATAACTCCTCTGGTTGCCAACTAGTTGACAATACCTTGACCTGACTTTATAATGACAATAAATGAGAATTATTACAGTCATTTCTCAAATTTGTTCTTTCAAATTATGTATACATTCAATAGCTGGCGAACGTTCCTGCAAAAATAACTGTGGAGCATTACTTCCTCTCTGCGGATGTGATTCTACTTGCCAGACCCACAGGGATTGTTGCCCTGACTATGACAGTAAGATACTTTCAGATAAAATACTAAATACATTTTTTCCCTGTAGTGTTCATACTATAGTTCCTGTGATGAAATGGATTTTTGTTGTCATTGCTTTTACTCCTGCTTAATTATCTTTATTCTCTTTTCACAGCCTACTGCTCAGCAACACCATACACAACAGCAGAACCAGACACTCACTGGCCATATACAGGTGCTGCTCGAATTCAGTTCAGTTTAATAATTTGTGTTCACATTTGGCAACATTTTTGGTTAGAGTAAATCTTTTTTGAATACTGTAATTCTGAATGTTGCTATTCTAACCTTGGTGTGCACCAAACAACAGACTGAGACCACTTAAAAGGCAGTCACTCTTCTTTCAAAGCATGTACTGTATAAATGCAACACTGGCCAAAGCGACACGTTGACACAGTAGGTAGCACGATCACCTCCAAGCAAGAAGGTCGCTGATTAGAGCCCCAACTGGTTCAGTTGGCATTTCTGTGAGGAGTTTGTATGCTCTCCCCATGTTTGTGTGGGTTTTCTCCGGGTGCTCCGGTCCCCCCCACCCCCCCCCCCCCCCCCCAGTCCACGGACATGCAGTAATAGGTAAATTGAATAATCTACATTGGCCATAGTGTATATGTGTTAATGAGTTTTTATAGATGTTTCCCTGTACTGGGTTGCAGCATGGAAGGGCATTTGCTGCGTAAAACTGGATACTGGACAATGGATACTGGATGCTGGATAAGTTGGCGGTTCATTACACTGTGGTGACCACTGATGAATAAAGGGACTAAGCCAAAGGAAAATAAATGATATCACAAGATGCAAACAGAATGTTCAACGCTAAGTTTTTCTTCTCATAGTCGCAATGCAGCCTATTACGGTTTGACATGGGAATCAGTTATGTGTTTCTTTGCAGCAATTGTGTGTGTGTGTGTGTGTGTGTGTGTGTGTGTGTGTGTGTGTGTGTGTGTGTGTGTGTGTGTGTGTGTGTGTGTGTGTGTGTGACTAGAATTCCTGTTGCTGTTTTGATTCATGTAGATCCATTTTATAAGCTCTTTGCAAGTCCTTAACTTATTGTTTGACAGTGTGGATGCTAAGTGAACAAAGACATACTAATTTACTTCCTTGGTCCCAACCCATGAAAGTAGGAGAATTGAACTATAAGTGTGAACACGACCTCAGTGACAATAATGAGATTAATGCCATTAAATGGTTTGGATGAATCCAGCAATGTTCTTTAGGACAGTAATAAGTTTGAGTATAGATATATGTCTATGAGTATAGTAACATGGGCGTCACAGTGGGTAGCTCGATCGCCTCAAAGCAAGAAGGTTGCTTTGAGCTTCGGCTGGGTCATTTGGCATTTCTGTGTGGAGTTTGCATGTTCTCCCCATGTTGGCGTGGGTTTCCTCAGTGTGCTCCAGTTTCCCACACAGGTCCAAAGATATGCAGTATAGGTGAATTGGTTAAGCTAAAATTAGCCGTAGGGTACTGTATGTGTGTGAATGAGTGTCTATGGATGTTTCCCAGTGATGGGTTGCTGCTGGATGGGCATCCACTGCCTAAAACATATGCTGGGTAAGTTGGCTGTTCATTCTGCTGTGGCGACCCCAGATTAATAAAGAAACTAAGCCAAAAAGAAAATGAATGAATGAATGAATGAACGAATGAGTGTAACTACACACAACAATATCTGACACAACAATGATTCCATCACACAAATATTGACATAAATGTGTAAAATTTGACATAAATCTGTTCCTCCCTACTTTTTTTCTGTCTGTCACACTGACAGCATCTTTGATCTTAGCAAAAGGCTAATTCCCCTGTTTCTCTTTACAAGGTTTTCCCTCCTGCATGTATAATTGTGGATACAACTTCAGCAGCTGCTCGTGCAACTTGGACTGTCGGTATTACAACAACTGTTGCCCTGACTATCACTGTAAGTTCTTTAAAAACAGATGCAGCAACTTAAAAACTCAGTGTAACATAAATTTAATTAAATAATATATTTATAATAACAATATATATTGTTAATTTTTTTATTATTATTATTATTGTTGTTGTTGTTGTTATTATCATTATTATTATTAAAAGCACAAAATACATTTACTGTACATGTCACCTCTGGTTTCTACTTAACTAGTTTTACTTTTCTTATTTGTGTTCAGGGTATTGCCCATCATACACAACAAATAATCCAGGTAATGCAAGAAGTTTTTTTTTTTTGTAATCACTATTCACTAATAATAAATGAACATACCACTTCTATCCTAAGATTAAACACATATCTTTGTATTATAGTTACTCACCCTAAGTGTGGAGGACATCTGTATGGTGCTGGGATGTTTTCCACTCCAAACTACCCAAGCTATTACCATGACAATGCCTACTGTGTGTGGTACCTTTCTGCTCAGCAAGGACAGAGGATCTTCTTGACATTTGCTGATGTGCAGTAAGCATTTGCCATCTAAAAGTTGATAAAAACAAAATCTTTAGACTATAATTCAGATTATCTATAAGTCTATATTAACATTATATATCAAGTATTATTAAAATATTGTGTACTGTAGAAATAGTGCAATTAATGTTTATTTGTGCAGTACCACTACCAACCTGCAGGTGGAACTAATTCCAAAAGCTTTATTAGTATTTGTCTGCGTGAAAAGTCTGTTTTTGGATCAGTTATGCCTGTTTCTTTCAGACTGGAGCGCTGCTGTGACTGTGACTACATTACCATTTATGACGGCTCTTCCACTGGTCATCAACAGTTGGGAAAGGTCTGCTCAAATGAGACCACACATCAGGCATTTCACTCTTCCTCACGATACTTGACTGTTGTTTTCAGGAGTGATTACACTAGTGTCAGCCATGGGTTCAAGGCCCATTTCACCAGCTCTCTGACTGCAGATCAAGGTATAGTAAGGTGCCCTGTGTGAGAATTTATGTTTTTATACTGTCTTCAATGAACAGCTGTCACATGTGTTCCAACTCTTTTCTGACCGAATTGAAGTTTTTGATTAACAAAAGAAACTTACTTACATCTTTACAAGTAAGAAATTGCAACATCTTTGATTAAATTCAGTTTCATTAAAGTTAATTAAACTCTGTATTGCAGGTCGTGTGGATTGTTCCTCAGACAACATGATCATTGTTCTTCGAAGGTCTTATCTGAACTCATTGGGATTTAGTGGAAATGACCTTTATGTGGATGACCGTCTCTGCAGACCAAACATTAGCAGCACTGAAGTTGTGTTCAGATTCCCCCTCAACACATGTGGAACCGCCAAAAAGGTGTGATCTATGTGTCTCGACAGCTTCTCATCAGCTTTTAATGCTTGAATTTGCTTTTTCAGTTTGATAAATGTGTGCGTTGTTGAGAGCCGTGTTTGCCACACAACATCACCCACTCTCTGTCTCTCTTTCCCTTTAGATGATGAACAGTTTTGTGTCCTACACCAACAATGTGCGGGCATCTCCATCTCAGTCGGGTGTAATCACTCGTCAGTCAGAGTTTCTTCTGAGTGTGGGCTGCCGAATGGAGCCGGACACTATTGTGCAGATCTTCTACGAGGCCAAAGAAATCCCCAATGGCAACATCACAGGAACGGGCCGCTTCAATGCCAGCATTGCCTTCTACACCTCCAGAAAGTTCAACCAGCAGATTTACGACTCTCCATATGAAGTGTTCCTGAATGACGATCTGTTTGTTCAAGTCAAGCTAACCAGATTTGATGCAAGCCTGGATCTCTTCTTGGAGACTTGCGTAGCATCTCCAAATCCAAATGACTTTAAAGATCATTCCTATGACCTGCTGCGTAATGGGTGAGTCTTGTTCATTCTCAAATGTTACTCCCTCAAATCTGTTGTCATAGGTGACGGGAATCCCGGAATAAAAGTTGTACAAGTTTGCACTAATAAAGTTTCACTGTTGTTCAAACTAAATTTCTCTTCTTTTGTTTTTGTAGATGTCCCAGAGACAGCACATTTCAATCCTATATCAATGGCGTGGATCAATATGCTCAGTTCAGTTTCCGGGCTTTTAAGTTCCTCCAGACTCATGCCTTTGTGCACCTGCAGTGTAAGGTGATCATCTGCCCTGACAATGATTACAACTCTCGCTGCCGTAAAGGTTGCCAATATCGGCGCAAGAGATCCCTTGGCAGCTCCTACAACTCCAGTACTGTGACGTTGGGCCCGATTAAACTCAGGGGTCAGAGTGCAGGTAAAATTAATGCTTTTATAGTTAAATAAATAAAAAAAATCACTATTTACTCACCTGTAGGGGATCTACAAATCCGAATATGAGAGAACTTTTATTTTGAAATTTGACATGGGCGCCGCCATTACTTTCTCCGGTATGTGTGTGGGTGACGATCGCATTCAGGCAGAGAGAGGGAGGAGAGAAAGGCGAGTTGTGACAGCAGTGGTGAGCTAATGAAGATTGTGCAGTTTTAAAACTTTTTGATCAACTTAAGAAGTTAACTGATGACATGAAACAAAGCTAGATTACATTGCTTCAAAGTCTCGTTGCTTTTAAGTCTCCGTATAGTTTAATGAGCCAGTTATTAACAGTGACGCAGCAAGTTTTTTTTGCCGCGCTCGTGAGTGACGCGGGATAATAGGCCTGCTGTTAAAGTCAGTCGGATTATTCAGTGCTGAAGTTGAATACTCCCGTGTTTTTTTGTAATTTACATCCAGATTTTTGTTAGTTCAAACGAACTCAAAACGTAGTGGATGCTGTGTTATTTTTGCGAGGATTTTTGCGTTGGAAAGCATCGTGTGTTCATTGTTTGCTCTGATTGATCGCCGTTGGACGGGATTGTGGCCTTGTTGGATCGTGCTGTGCGTTCAGGATCACGAGGGCAATCGTTGGGGATCAAAGAGTTGAAGGAACATTACCCTGCCTTTCCAGACTCCTTTCAGCGCTCCGTTCTGGACCCAAGAGTGGTGATGTACAATATTGAGTTCACTTTTCCCTGAATATTGGTAAGACATCTTTTCTTTTCACCAAGTATCGAAACAGAACTGTGTTTTAAAGGAACTCTCATTCGAAAAACTGGAAATTGTGCGTTTTTCCACAAAGAGACTTATTTGTTTACCGGTCTATGGACATTTTCACTCGTGAATGGACTGAGTATATTTTTCCTGAATTTTGAAAGTGAACTCTAACTTGATTTGAACTCATTTGATTAATACTGATTGTGAATGTGAATCTTGTCATTGTTTAAGGTGTGACTGAAACACTAACGTTAGCACATTGATTCTATTTCATTTATTATTGTCTATATTTCATTTCATTTTGAGCTGATTGAGTTTAAAACAATTTAACTTTTTATGTGAAGAAACATAAGAAAAGAAAACTCATTCAATTAGTCTCATAAGACTAATACTTTTTGTTTAAATAAATATTTGTTTGTTTAGTTACATTGAGTTAACTGAAGTCCTTTATACTAAGGAGTGGGGCCGTCTCATCTATCCTGTTAGATCTGGGAGGGTGGGTTTTTCTGAGTTTTTACACACTTACATACGCACTTCAGGCTACCACCGTGATAAAGATAGATCCTGAAGCCCACCTCACTTTATCTGTAGCTCCATATAGCAACACGATAGACACTCACATATAACCACTAGTTATACTGAGACCTAAAGCATTGGGTGGGGGGACTAAGATCCTGTTGCTCACTCAGTCTTCCTTAGTGTAAAGTATATTATTTGCCCCACAAGGCGGTGGCATATTCCCCTCCGCCACATATTGGCGTCACGAACAGGATAAATTCCTGACTTTTAATTCAGTATAAGTTTGAAGTTTTTGAGCCGACGCTATGGCTGAGCTAGAAGAATTAAAGAAACAGTTTGAAGAAATGCAAAGGCGGTTCGGTGAGCAGTCTGGCATGTTAGAGCAAGCCAGAGCCGAACAGAGAGAGGCACTTTCTCTAGCTAAAATTGTTATTGAACAACAAGCTGCTGCTCAAAAAGCACCATCTACTGTGTACATCCCAAGAGATCGTAAACTTCCAGAGTTCAGTGGATGTCGTTCTAAGCCTGGCGAGTTGAGCATAGAAGAATGGATAAGTTCAATGAAGTCCGCCTTCAAGGTGATGAAAATTCCTGAAGAAGACAGAATTGAGTTTGTTAAGCAGTGTTTAAAAGATGAAGCAAAGATGACAGTCAAGTTTATGCTGAACGGAAAGGAGAAGTCAGTGGATGAGATTTTTGATGCTTTGGATCAGACTTATGGGGACAAACTTCCCATTGGCAGCAGGCTAAAAGATTTTTATGACCGCAAACAAATGCCTGGAGAAACCATTCGTTCGTATGCATACGATTTGCAAGAGAAATTGAGTATAATTCAGAGCAGAGACCCAGCTAGAATTCCTGATGCTGATGGTGTATTGAAGGAACAGCTCGTGCTAGGCCTCAAAGATGATTCACTACGACGTGAAATGAAAAGGAGAGTTAAGGCTGAGAAAGATTTGACATTCATTCAGCTTATGCAAGAAGCTATAACGTGGTCAGAAGAAGAGGAAGTTCAAATTCCAAGTAATCTGAGACCCAGTACTCGTTCACGTGGTGTTGTTCGTGCTACCTCTGCGACAGAGAGCTCTTCAGTCCCTCTCACCCTAGAGTCACTCCATGAAGCTGTTCAACAAATTGCTGCCCGACAGGAAGAATTGTTTCAGATAGTCAATAGTAAAGAAAAAGTGAAACCTCTTGTAAAAGAGAACAAGATGAAAAGTGTACCTTTAAAAGATAGTGAAGGGAGATACATCTGTTATACCTGTGGTAAGCCAGGACACACAAGCCGACGTTGTCTTCAGAACAAGGAAAACTCTAAAACTCAGACAGTAGAGAGGGAAAAGACAGCAGACCGAGACACTTTAGTGCTAGAGAGCCCAGGTCCATCTGTCATTCGTAGTCATACTGCAGACTGTGATACAAAGAATGTTTCCAAGTCTCTTTGTGAGAGTGCTTTTGGAGACTGTCTGACAATTGAAGTGAAAATTGCGGGTATAAGTACCATTTGTCTCTTGGATACAGGATCAGAAGTCACTACTATCACTGAGTCGCATTTTAAGGATCACTTCGGAGAAGCTGTGTTGTCTTCTGCCAACTGGGTTCGTCTCACAGCAGCAAACGACCTGGACATTCCCATCATAGGTTGTCTAGAAGCAGACGTAGAGTGTATGGGGAAGAAGTTACATGGAAAGTGTGTGTTTGTAATCAAAGAGACTGAAACCCACGGAACAGAGTTGAATAGATTACCTGGCATTGTTGGGATGAATGTGTTGAGTGAACTTAAAGATCTGTTCATGACTACTGGAGACGTGAAGAAGATGAACAGATATAGTTGTGGCTTTAAGGAGGCAAGGGTCCAACGAGTGTTAGCTAACATCAAGATGCAGACTGAGACATTAAGCTGCAACGATAAGATTGGCTTCGTAAAAGTTGCTGGCAAGCAAGCAGTTACTATCCCTCCATTCAGTGAACGTGTTTTAGAAGGCCGCTGTAGAATACCACCAAAAGTAAGCTGTCAAGTGTTGGTGGAGGCCTCTTCAAATGTCAGCTTGCCTAAAAGTGTACTGATCGCTAATGTGCTCGCCAAATCAGCTGATGGTAAAGTTCCAGTCAGAGTCCTGAATTCTAGCGAAAAACCTGTAAAATTACCACCACGATGTAGAATCGCTGCACTGTCTAAGCCACAAGAAGTTGTGCAAAAAGAGCTTGTTGAGTTTGAGGAGAAGGAAGGTACCCTGTATGTTAAAGCTGTACAGAAACATCAGGTGGATGTGGATATAAGCACCACAGAGCAACTGCCAGTTCCAGTGCAAATGAATTTAGAGAATCTCACCGAAAGTCAACGTTGCACACTACAGGAACTACTGGTCAAGCACAGTGATGTGTTTTCAAAGAACGATTGTGACTTTGGTTATACAACTGCCGTTACACACAATGTACCGACAGGAGATGCTCCTCCTATTAAGCAAAGACATCGCAGAATACCACCTCAAGTGTTTCAGGAAGTGAAAAAACATGTTCAGGATTTGGTTTCTCAAGGTATTCTCAGAGAAAGCTGTAGTCCGTGGGCATCGCCAGCTGTGATTGTAATTAAGAAAGATGGTAGCGTACGCTTTTGCTGCGACTACAGAAGATTAAATAAAGTGACTTGCAAAGATGCTTATCCACTCCCTCGTGTGGAGGAATCACTGGATGCTTTAGGTAATGCACAGCTGTTCTCCACCCTTGATCTTACCTCTGGGTATTTCCAAGTTGCGATGAATGAGGAGGATAGAGCAAAGACGGCGGTAACAACTCCTTTCGGATTGTTTGAATGGACCAGGATGCCATTCGGACTCTGTAATGCTCCTGCGACGTTCCAACGTCTGATGGGGGTGGTGCTCGGAGATCTAACTTTTGACATACTGCTCATCTACCTGGATGACATTATTGTTTTTTCAAGAGACTTTGAAAGTCATTGTCAGAGACTGGAAATAGTGTTCAACCGATTGAGAGAGCATGGTTTGAAACTAAAACCCAGCAAGTGCTTCCTTTTGAAACCCGAAGTGAAATTCTTGGGTCATCTAATATCCTCCCAAGGAATAAAGGTGGATGGAGAGAAAACTCAAGTGTTGGAGACATGGCCTGCACCCACAAATGTCAAAGAGTTAAGACAGGTCCTTGGATTTATGAGTTATTACAGGAGATTTGTTCCTTGTTTTGCTCAATTAGCCCGGCCTCTTCATGCTCTGGTGGGTAAAGGAGGAAAAGGGAAAGTTATTGAACCTTTGAACTGGACAACTGAATGTCAGTTAGCATTTGACAAACTCAAGCATTGTTTAATGTCTCCTCCAGTCCTTGCATATCCAGATTTCAGTCAGTCTTTTGTACTCACAACTGATGGGAGCCTGCATGGTCTTGGAGCCGTGTTGAGCCAGAGACAAGGAGATGCTGAGCGTGTGATTGCGTATGCAAGTCGAAGTCTTCGTGGATCAGAGAAAAACGACAGAAATTACAGTGCTTTTAAGCTAGAGTTGCTAGCTCTAAAATGGGCTGTAACCGAGAAGTTTAAAGAATACTTGATCTACTCCAAGTTCTCTGTGGTTACAGATCACAACCCTTTGCGCTACCTAGAAACAGCAAATCTAGGAGCAGTTGAACAACGGTGGGTAGCTCAGTTGTCGGAGTTTGATTTTGAAGTCTTCTACAAACCAGGACGACAAAATACAAATGCGGATGTTCTTTCGAGGATTCCATCTGGAGAGGAGCCAGAGCAGGAGGATTCTGATAAAGATTTCATTAAGATGAATTCAGATGAAGTGCGCACATGCTTATGGCCAGCCACTAAAAATCAGCAGAGGGTTCAAGCTTCAGTCCAAGTATCTGTGGCAAGGAAAGTCCCTGGATACAGTTGGAGTGATCTAGAAGAGCAACAAAAGACAGACCCTAAAATAGCCCCTATCTACCGTGCTGTTCTTAAAAACAAGAATCTGAGCCCAGTTGAGCAGCGTAACATGAATGCTGAGTTAAAAAAGCTTGCTAAACAATTCATAAGACTCGAGCTTAAAAAAGGAGTGATGTTCCGTACCATCCTTGATCCTCGAGATGGCGAAGAAATTTGTCAGCTTGTGGTTCCAGAACCTCTGCGTTACAAAGTATATGAGAGTCAGCATGATCATTGTGGCCATTTCGGAGAAAGAAGTACGCTAGAGCGCATGAGAAGAAATTATTACTGGCCAACAATGAGTAAGGATGTTCAAAACTGGATTAAAGAGTGCAAAAGATGTGCACTTGCAAAGGATGTTTTCCCTAAGATTCGAGCTCCAATGACGTGCACTAATGTGTCTGCACCACTGGAAGTCCTTGCAATGGATTATACTGTCTTGGAGGAATCTGTGGGAGGATACGAAAATGTTCTTGTCTTAACTGACATGTTCTCTCGTTTCACAGTGGCCGTGCCCACCAGAAATCAAACTGCTCACACTACTGCGAAAGCACTGGTGCAGCATTGGTTTGTACATTATGGCTGTCCTGCACGATTACATTCGGACCAAGGTCGTTGCTTTGAAGCCAATGTCATCAAAGAACTGTGTAGAGTCTATGGAATTGGAAAGAGTCGCACAACCCCGTATCACCCCCAGGGTAACTCCCAGTGTGAACGATTTAATAGAACTATGCACGACATGCTAAGAACATTACCCCCAGAAAAGAAAAAGAACTGGAAGGAGTATCTACCTGAGTTAGTTATGGCCTATAACAGTCGAACCCACACTTCAACTGGGTATTCGCCATTCTACTTACTGTTCGGTAGAGATGCTCGCATGCCAATGGATATCCTTAATGGAAGGGACATTGAGGAAAGTGGAGTTGACAATCTTGATGATTGGGTGAAAAAACACCATGACAGATTGAAAACAGCTGTTGAAGTAGCCAACTCTGCAGCACAAGAGGCTTCAAGACAGAGAAAGAGAGCCTATGATCGCAAATCACGTGGTGCACTCATGAAAGCTGGAGATCGTGTTCTGTTAAGGAATCATTCACACAGGGGAAGGAATAAGATCCAAGATCATTGGGAACCCTTACCTTACATTGTAGTGAAACAAAATCACACAGACACGCCAGTCTATACTATTCGCCCAGAGAAAGGGGGTCCATGTAAAGTTGTACACAGAGATCAACTAAGACACTGCACTTTTCAGTCATCTTTACCGCCTCGGACATCTAGACATAATTCTAGAGCACACACAAGTCAGGAACACACTGATTCAGAGGATCCTGATGTTCTTGTAGTCCCTGTTACATTTACACCAACTACACTTCCAGACACACAAGGTAGAAGGGAAAGTGGGGATGAGTCGGACACAGGTATTAGAGAACATGATAATAGAATTTCAGATGAAGATTCAGTAGATCAGTCTGTAAATTCAGGTGGTTCTGAAGCTGAAAGTGAAAATGAAAGCATTCCTGAACCTAGACGTTCACAACGTTTGAACAAAGGTACTTTACCTGTTAGGTACAGAACTGATTTTGTCTTGAAATAAACTTAGACAACAATTGAAACTTTAAGGTTTTGAAAGTATCTTTTAATGTGTATTTCACTGATTGAAAACTTTATTGTTGTACTGATGTTCATACCTAAAGTGTTTACCTGCTATTCTCTGTTTTTGTTTTCCGGAACCGGATCGCTGAAAGGAGGTCCAGTGGTATGGCAGGGTTTAGTAGGGGGGAATGTAGGGGATCTACAAATCCGAATATGAGAGAACTTTTATTTTGAAATTTGACATGGGCGCCGCCATTACTTTCTCCGGTATGTGTGTGGGTGACGATCGCATTCAGGCAGAGAGAGGGAGGAGAGAAAGGCGAGTTGTGACAGCAGTGGTGAGCTAATGAAGATTGTGCAGTTTTAAAACTTTTTGATCAACTTAAGAAGTTAACTGATGACATGAAACAAAGCTAGATTACATTGCTTCAAAGTCTCGTTGCTTTTAAGTCTCCGTATAGTTTAATGAGCCAGTTATTAACAGTGACGCAGCAAGTTTTTTTTGCCGCGCTCGTGAGTGACGCGGGATAATAGGCCTGCTGTTAAAGTCAGTCGGATTATTCAGTGCTGAAGTTGAATACTCCCGTGTTTTTTTGTAATTTACATCCAGATTTTTGTTAGTTCAAACGAACTCAAAACGTAGTGGATGCTGTGTTATTTTTGCGAGGATTTTTGCGTTGGAAAGCATCGTGTGTTCATTGTTTGCTCTGATTGATCGCCGTTGGACGGGATTGTGGCCTTGTTGGATCGTGCTGTGCGTTCAGGATCACGAGGGCAATCGTTGGGGATCAAAGAGTTGAAGGAACATTACCCTGCCTTTCCAGACTCCTTTCAGCGCTCCGTTCTGGACCCAAGAGTGGTGATGTACAATATTGAGTTCACTTTTCCCTGAATATTGGTAAGACATCTTTTCTTTTCACCAAGTATCGAAACAGAACTGTGTTTTAAAGGAACTCTCATTCGAAAAACTGGAAATTGTGCGTTTTTCCACAAAGAGACTTATTTGTTTACCGGTCTATGGACATTTTCACTCGTGAATGGACTGAGTATATTTTTCCTGAATTTTGAAAGTGAACTCTAACTTGATTTGAACTCATTTGATTAATACTGATTGTGAATGTGAATCTTGTCATTGTTTAAGGTGTGACTGAAACACTAACGTTAGCACATTGATTCTATTTCATTTATTATTGTCTATATTTCATTTCATTTTGAGCTGATTGAGTTTAAAACAATTTAACTTTTTATGTGAAGAAACATAAGAAAAGAAAACTCATTCAATTAGTCTCATAAGACTAATACTTTTTGTTTAAATAAATATTTGTTTGTTTAGTTACATTGAGTTAACTGAAGTCCTTTATACTAAGGAGTGGGGCCGTCTCATCTATCCTGTTAGATCTGGGAGGGTGGGTTTTTCTGAGTTTTTACACACTTACATACGCACTTCAGGCTACCACCGTGATAAAGATAGATCCTGAAGCCCACCTCACTTTATCTGTAGCTCCATATAGCAACACGATAGACACTCACATATAACCACTAGTTATACTGAGACCTAAAGCATTGGGTGGGGGGACTAAGATCCTGTTGCTCACTCAGTCTTCCTTAGTGTAAAGTATATTATTTGCCCCACAAGGCGGTGGCATATTCCCCTCCGCCACACACCCTCAAGTACCTCCAAAGCGCTCTGACTTTCTTTCTTGGAGGAGAAGGATGTTGGTAATCACACAGTATAATTTAACTTGCATAGTAGGAAAAAAATACTCATTTAACCTCATTTAGGTTTATTGGTATTGGTTAATAAAGGGGTAAATAAAGACATACATTTATGGGTGAAAACACTTTCAGGTCTGAACCTTTTACTTATCACTTTCAATGTATTTCTTTGTCAAGGACGAAGACATGGTGTGGAATCAGAGAAGTCTAAGGAATGATCTGGAATAGAGGGAGTGACCCAGATCATCTTCTCAATCAATGACATAATCTTTAATGTTAATCCCTATTAACCACCCAGCAAATGAATCTTAAGGCAATTTCTTATTATAATTCAATAAAGCATTTCTAAACTGCAATCTTTGTCGTTGGTCTCTGTGATTTATGAATTTAGAAATTTTAAGCGTGAATAAAATCTTATAAATAGAACCTATACAAATGATAATATTTTGCATAATTATCTTTTCAGCCTTAACAAAAATATTTCACTGCGATTTTCAAAAATCTACTACATATATTATGGCTTTGCTGTGAATTGGTATTTGGGACCCGGTGTCCCATCATTCATTGTGTTCAGGATCAAGAGGTTACATGTGTCGCATATCAAGAAGTCAAGATGTCTTTCCTATTTAGGCTTGAGTTTCATTAAATACCACATATGTGACCCTGGACCACAAAACCAAAATTTTCTTCTTTTTTTAAATTGAGATTTACAGTATACATCAATGTAAGCTAAATACATGGTATTTACATTAGTGTGCTCTTTATTAGGATATGAGAATATTTAGCTGAGATGCAACTAATCAAAAATCTGGAATCTAAGGACTCCAAAACATCTAAATACTGAAAAAGTCCTTTCAATAAAGTGCTTAGCAATGCATATTACTAATCAAATTTTACGTTTTGATATGTTTAGAGAAGAAAATGTCATTCATTTATTCTCTCATTTTCCTTCAGCTTGGTCCTTTATTTATCAGGGGTTGCTGATAAACCGCCAACTAATCCAGCATATGTTTTATGCAGCACATGCCCTTCCAGCCTCAACCCAGTAATGGGAAACATCCATACACTCTGAAATTCAAGCACTCACACACTACGGCCAATTTAGTTTACCCAATTCACCTATAGTGCATGTTTTTGGATTGTGGGGTAAACCGGAGCACAAGGAGGAAACCCACGTGGGGAGAACATACAAACTCCACACAGAAATTCTAATTTGCCCAGCCAGGACTGGAACAAGTGATCTTCTTGCTAGTCGACAGTGCTAACCACTGATCCACCGTGCCACCCTACAAAAGGTCTTAATGGAAAATGATCTTTTACTCTATATTCTAATTATTTTTTGGTATATTGATCGTTTGCATTTAAGTGCTGCATTGGTTAATAAAAAGTTCTAAACATGCAGTCTCCAGGTTCACTTGAACACTTGTGCTAAATACAATAAATACTTTATGAAAGTAGACATGTGGTCAAGTGAAAAGACCAAACTGAGACCACACTGGTTCAGTAGAAGTTCACCAGACCTGCCAGCCTACATAAACAGACCCACTGCTGTTTAAAACGAAAAAACAAATGTGTTGCACTGGTGGATTTCCCAAACAAAACAAAAACTTAATGCAAAAGCTCCCCTTCGGTTGACAATCATACTCATCTCCAGATTACAGTATATTCAAAACTCTGCGGCTAGAATACTCACTCATACCAAACGTTCTGCTCATAAAACCCCTAATCTTGTATGAACTCTATTATCTCATAGTTGCATACCGCATTACATTTAAAATTCTCCTCCTTGATTTTAGATCCCTAAATATCCTAGCTCCCTCTTATCTTTGCAACATGCTTGTCACCTACACCCCAACTCGCTCATTACGCTTCTCTGACTTTGGCCTTTTTGCTGTCCCTCGGTACTGCCTCTCTTCAATGGGGGGCAGATCATTTAGTGTTATTGCACCCAAACTCTGGAACGCTCTACAACGCTCACTCCGTTCTGCTAATAATATCTCTGAATTCAAATCCTTACTTAAAACTCACTTATTTTGTGAATGCTTCACTTCTGGTCTGCTAAACTGACCACTTTATTTGATCCACCTGCACTCTGCTTATTTGTCTCTTAGGTCTTGCTTTTGTATTTGACTTCCTGTATGTGTATTTTTTATTTGCTTGTACCATCTCCTATTGTTGCATTCTTTGTAAAGTGTCCTAGAGTTATGGAAAGGCGCTATATAAATAAAATTATTATTATTATTCTTATTATTATTATTATTATTATTATTATTATTATTATTATTATTATTATTAATATTATTAATATTAAAAGACAAAAATATTCAAATGTGACATTAAAAACAAAGATCATTTTAATACCTAGATGGTTTGAAGTAAAGTGGTCTGTTATATGCATAAAATTTAATTAAATTTGTATTTGTTAAAAAAATATGTTTATAAACCATATAACCATAATATGATTATTCTACGATTTTGTTGTATTTATACAGTATTATTAGGTATATTCCTATTTCACTGGGTGGACAAATGCCATATCAATATCCTGGATACTCTAACTATGCTAACTGTGGAAATAACGCATCTGTTGTATTTACAAAGTTTTTGATAGTAATGTGTTTAGAGACTGCAATACAAATAATGGTAATGCAAACAATAGTTGACACATTTTATACAGCAAAAATAATGATGTGGCAGTGCTGTTCATAACCACTTTAATTAAGTTAAAATATATTTAGAAATCTCCTCTAATAATTCTTAAATACATTATAAATGCACTCACATTGCCATCTTGCTCTCTTTTGTTTAATAAATTAGTTTTATTAATATTTATAGAAATATTTTTTGATATTAAATTAATATACAGTTGAAGTCAGAATTTTTAGCCCCCCTGAATTATTAGCCCCACTGTTTTTTTCCACAATTTCTGTTTAACGGAGAGAAGATTTCTAAACATAATAGTTTTAATAACTCTTCTTTAATAACTGATTTATTTTATCTTTACCATGATGACAGTAAATAATATTTTACTTTTACTATATTTTTCAAGACATTTCTATACAGCTTAAAGTGACATTTAAAGGCTTAACTAGAGTAATTAGGTTAACAAGGCAGGTTAGGGTAATTAGGCAAGTTATTGTATAATGATGGTTTGTTCAGTAGACTGTTGATAAATATAAAAACTACTGATAAATATAAAACAACAAAAATTGATTAAAGGTGCTAATAATTTTGTCCTTAAGATAGTGTTTAAAAAATTCAAAACTGCTTTTATTTTAGCCGAAATAAAACAAATAAGAAATAAGATCCAGAAGAAAAGATATTTTTAGACATACTGTGAAAATTTCCTTACTATGTTAAACATCATCAGAAATATTTTTAAAAAAGAAAAAAATCAAAGGGGGGCTAATAATTCTTACTTCAACTGTATATTAAAGAGATAGTTCACCCAAAAATAAAATTATAGGCATTATTCACTCACCCTCAAGTGTTTCCTAACCTTTATGAGTTTCTTTTTTTCTGTTGACACTAAGGAAGATATTTTTAAGAAAGTTAAAAACCGGTAACCACTGACTTCCATAATAGGAAAACCTATGAAAGTCAATGATTATAGGTTTTCAGCTTTCTTCAAAAAAATTTATCTTGTGTTCAGCAGAAGACAGAAACTCCAACAAGCCTGGAACAAGTGAAGGGTGAGTAAAAAAAAAGACTACCTGAAATACCTGAGAAAGCAGGGTCTAAGACATAGTAATGTGAGTATATAAATAATGGTGAACATGAAAGTGTGTGCACAATCATTAACAATCAATTCATAATGGCAAACTTAGTGTCAACAGAAACATTTATAACTGAATCTAGATTAAAAAAAATAAACATTGCATAATATTCAGCTGTCAACTATAGATCTTTTTTCCAGTAGAAAGTCCAAGATATCGATCTGTCATAAAAAAAAAATCCTCTTGTTGGTTTTGAGTATATAAGAGAGGGTTGAAAAGCTGAAGACAAACTTGATCAGATGAGGGAGATGAAAGTTATGGCTCTTCTTCCATTTCTGCTTCTAACTGCTTTTCAAGGTAAGACTAACAGTCTTTTGGGGGAAATGTCCAGTATATGTAATACAGCAGCAAATCTGAACATAAGTTACATCATTTGTTTCTCAAATTATAGTTTATATAGTAATTCATAAACTGACTTGGTAATCATAGATTGACAACATGGCATCATAAGAAAAAGCATTAAATTCCATTGCATTATATATTATTGCAGCAAATGCCATTGGGTCATGGACAACAGGTAAACAACTTACTTGTTTTAAACATATGTTTGCACAATGGGCAATTATCAATTTACATGATTTTCTTTGATTTTATAGATAACTGGCTGTATTCATCTGAAGGTTTTTCAGGTATCTGCATACTTTAGTTATTCCGTGTTCATCCTTCCTAAGAGAACATTATTAAATGCCAATGTACAATGTCTCCTTTATATATATATATATATATATATATATATATATATATATATATATATATATATATATATATATATATATATATATATATATATATATATATAGGCTATAATAAAGATATGTGCTCTTTGTCCATAATATTGTGAAGAATTATGCGGTGGCAATATGACAGCGTGGACAGGTGAATTGTTCAGCCCTCGGTACCCTAATAACTACCCTAATAATGCACGGTGCACATGGACCATTCACAGCACAGGAAACACAACTGTGTCCCTGACCTTCAACGACGTTGAGTAGGGAGATTATTTAATTATTCTTATTCATCTTAAGATCAATTTCACAGTCAAAATAATCAAATTAAATCATTTTAGAACCTAAGCTCTACCTGAAAAAAGTCTTGTAGTCGATCTCAGTTGTAGGAACAATGAATAACTTGACTTTTAGTTGATCATTTGGAAAAGTGGCAGAAGGTAGATCTTTCAGATGAGTCATCTGTTGAACTACATCCCAATCATCACAAATACTACAGAAGACCTATTGGAAAACACATAGACCCAAGATTCTCATAGAAATCAGTCAGGTTTGGGAAAAATCATGGTTTGGGGTTACATTCAGCAAGAGAGATCTGCAGACAGGATGGCAAAATCAACAGCCTGAGGTATTAAGACATTTGTGCTGCCCATTACATTACAAACCATAGGAGAGGGCAACTTCTTCAGCAGGATAGCACTCCTTCTCATACTTCAGCATTTGCATCAAAGTTCCTGAAAGCAAAGAAGGTCAAGGTGCTTTAGTATTGGCCAGCCCAGTCACCAGACATGAACATTATTGAGCACTTTCTTTGCCATTCCAGATGACTTTTTAAATACATTATTTCGGTTAATTGACAAGACTTTTGTCTGGGCAAAGTTAGACCTTACTGTAATAATTAAATAATTAAAAATCAAGGCATCATCATATTTTATTGCCTTTCATATAAGCCACTTCTGATACCTAATGATCAACTAAAAGTCAAGTTATTATTTGTTGTACCTAAAACTTGGATACGCGACAAGACTTTTGTCAGGTAGAGTAAAAATGTTTAAAATATCCTCATTTAAAAAAAACAAGATGACAATATGGTTTGTCTCTCCTCTCCGTTTGCTAGTTTGGAATCATGCTGTGATTACATCAGAGTGCATGATGGTCCTTCTACCCTGTATCCTTTACTGGAGGAAATACGGGACTACAGGAATCAGTCTTTTAAATCCACAGGCAACACTCTGACCGTGCTTTTCTACAGTGACAGCAGCGTAACAAGAAGAGGATTTCAAGCAAACTGGACCTTTGTAGGTATGTGATTGAGAAGATGAATACAACTTGATCTACACTACCATAGCAGTTCTCTAATTAATTATGTTTGAAAAACACTTTAGTGAAAGAGATCCTCCACTTGTATAAAATAAATTATATGATGTCAAAACACAGTGGTATACAATATTTAATTGAAGTGTTTATCACAAAGAAAAAAAAAAATTATTAAGTGGTTTCAAACATTTACAAGTATATTTTACTTTTCTGTTGAACACAAATGAAGATGCTTTGAAGTATGGTGGAAACCAGTAGCCACTGACTTCCATAATAGAAATAATACCAGTTGATACCAGTTCCCAACATTATAAAAAAACATCTTTGTTTGTTCAACAGCAGACAGAAAGCTTATATTGCATCTAAGCATGAAGATAAAGTACACTTGCAATCCTATTTTTTTTCTCTTTTAATGCAAATATCAACGATTAAACAGGTCCTCCCTCAGACGACCCCTGCTACCGTTATACAGTACTAGATGATGCTTGGAGAGCCACAACTTATAATGAATCAATCATAAACTGTGACACAGCTGTGAAATGGTTTGGCTGGTATCGTCTCTTCATCTATGGCCAGAGTGTCCAGATGCCAGACAGATGTGTTGATAAGTACAGATGTGGCACTCACGCCCCCCTGTGGTTAAATGGTCAACACCCAAAAGTTGGAGATGGAGTGGTGACCCGAGATGTCTGTGGTCACTGGTTGAGTGACTGCTGTTATTACAGATCTGCTCCCATTAGAGTGAAAGCCTGTCCTGGAGGTTATTATGTCTATGAGTTTGTTGAGCCACCCGCCTGCAATCTTGCATACTGTGCAGGTAAATATGCCTCCTTTCCTCCTCTTACATGTGTCTCTTTATTCATAACCAGTTATTAAAAAGTTTCTTTCAGATGTTGAAAAGCCCAACACCAGCTATACAACTGTTACACCAGACACCCTCTCATCAGGTAATAAAACTTTTTGGAGCATGTGTTCATCAAATCATATTTCTAATAGTTCATAAAGTGTACATGGGATCATGGATAAATTGACTTTGCACATCTACTGTTCAGAAGAAAAGCGTTCAATACATTGCATTAAATGTTCTATTATGCCTTATTGCAGCAAATACCATTGGGTCATGGACAACAACAGGTAAACAACATTTAACATTATAAAGTGTTGATAATGGCTGTTTCATGCAAACCTTTTACACTGGTGAAATATATATTACATGATGTATTTTTGCTCTGTACAGATATCTGGCTGTATTTTACTGAATGTTTTTTTTCAGATATGTATCAGCATATAGCATACTGTAGTTATTCTGTCTTTAACCTTTCTCTGAGAATATTATGAACTGGCAATCGAGAAAATACATTAATATAAAAAAGTGATTTTTTTCACATTTCTGTTTCCTAATTAGTTATTTTTTGGTTTTTGCTTTTTATTAATCGTCTTGTTTTCTATGATAACATGAAGAACCATGCGGTGGCAATATGACAGCTTGGACAGGTGAATTGTTCAGCCCTCGATACCCTAATAACTACCCTAATAATGCACGGTGCACATGGACCATTCACAGCACAGGAAACACAACTGTGTACCTGGCCTTCAACGATGTTGAGTATGACACTGTTTCAATAAACTTATTTATCATTTCCCCAGTCAAAAGGCATTATTTTACTCAAATATTATTGGTTTAGCCACTCTCGGATGTAGGGTGACTGAAAGATGGTCTGTATAAATGTAGACATCTGCCTCTCTTTTAGTTGTGTAGTTGGGTTTTATTTTATTTCATTTTTAAGGATTGTTTGTTATGTTTGTGAAATGTAAAGTGTAACAATGTTAAAGATAAATTAAGCTTCCACTATAAACAATATATATAAATGAATGTGTTTTTCTCTCTCCTTCTGCTTGCTAGCTTGGAAAAATGCTGTGATTACATCAAAGTATATAATGGTCCTTCAATCTTCCACCCATTTCTGGGAGAAATAAAGGAGTTCAGAAACCAGTCTTTCAAATCCAGCAGCAATGATCTGACTGTGGTTTTCTTCAGTGATCACAGTGTATCAGGAAAAGGATTCCATGCAAACTGGCTCTTTGTTGGTATGTGATTAAAAGAGATTAATATAACATTTATGATATTACACATTTTAACTATTTATTCTGCTAAGCCAAACATTCTCTCAGAATTGAATTTGTGACTCACGTTTTGTTCTTTATCATTCTCTATTAGAAGAATCATGTGGTGGCAATATGACAGACTGGACGGGTGAATTGTTCAGCCCCCGATACCCTAATAACTACCTTGATAACTCATATTGCACATGGACCATTCACAGCACAGAAAACACAACCGTTTCACTGACCTTCAACGATGTTGAGTACGACACTATTTGAACAATTTTAGAACTGAGGCTCTATAGTAAAAAATGTGTTGAATGTCCTCCTTTCAAAAAAAAAAAAAAAAAACAACAATATGGTTTGTCTCTCCTTTCCGTTTGCTAGTTTGGAAACATGCTGCGATTACATCAGAGTGTATGATGGTCCTTCTACTCTCCACCCTTTACTGGAGGAAATACGGGACTACAGGAATCAGTCCTTTAAATCCACAGGCAACACTCTGACCGTGCTTTTCTACAGTGACAGCAGTGTAACAAGAAGAGGATTTCATGCAAACTGGATATTTGTAGGTATGTGATTAAGATGAATATGACTTGATTTATGCTATTACACAGCAATTCTCTAATTGACTTTGGAAAACACTTTAGTGAAAGACATCCTCCACTTTCATAAAATAAAATATATGATGTCAAAACAAAGTCGTATACAATATTTACATAGATGGTCCATCAAAAAGAGCAAAACATGCAAACTGCAAATATTGCACCTGATTGTGAAAATAAAGTACTTCCAATCCTATTTTTTTCCTTTTCAATACATATAGTAGTGATTGAACAGATCCTCCCTCAGACGACCCCTGCCACCACTATACAGTACTAGATGATCCTTGAAGAACCTCCACGTCTATAAATTGGAGCCATAATGCCAGATCCACAAACATGAATCTATTTATATGTTGTAATAAATGCCATTTGTTATAAAAGAGGGCATGTTGACTACGGTAAAGTTCCAAGTGCAACTTTATTTATAAATAGAGAATGGTCAGAATCAAAGAGTCAAAACAGGAGCAAAACAATGATAGCAAGAGTAATCCAGTAAGAGTTATCCAAAAGACTGACAAAGGTCAGAAAACAAGCACAATCTGAAAACTGTAAAAATGAAAATACAACGCAGACATGGCAAAACATCAACAATGGATGTCTGTGGAAGCGGTGCTTATATCTGAGGTCAAATTGGCTGCAGTTGTTTGTGACTTCAGAGTTGAGTTCATATGAATAAGTTGTGAGGTGCAAAGCATTGTGGTACATGTAGTCCGGTTGAGTGCCTGATATGAGGTGTATGCTGCCAGGCACTCTGATTGCCGATTTATTGCAGAGCACAGCACAGATACATTATAAGCCCCTACAATTATGGTCATGAGACCTGCTTAGTATTGTGTATTTCTTAGTATGATGATCTACTTTGCTAAGAGCCCTAAGGACACTAGGATCACCTCTGGCAAAATTTGTATATATATATATATAAAATATCTGGGGTGGTTAAAACATATGTGCAGAGTATCTTTTATGGTCCTTTTACTCTCTTTTTCATTATGCTTGGACACTAACTAATTCCTGCATTTATTTTGGGGCATCGGGATATCCAGCTACTCACCCTCAGTGTGGAGGACAACTGTATGACTCCGGGATGTTTTACAGTCCAAACTACCCAAACTATTATCCTGACAATGCCTACTGTGTGTGGTATCTTTCTGCTCAGCAAGGACAGAGGATCTTCTTGACATTTGCTGATGTGCAGTAAGTGTGATTAATACAAAAAAAAAATCATCATCATTATTAACTTATACTACTTGAGAGTATTACTGTATGTGTAGTATCATGAAATTCCTCCATGTGGAACAAAAATTTCTGTTTCTTTCAGACTGGAGCGCTGCTGTGACTGTGACTACATTACCATTCACGACGGCTCTTCCACTGGTTATCCACAGCTGGGAAAGGTCTGCTTCAACGACACCACACATCAGGCATTTCACTCTTCTTCACGATACTTGACTGTTGTCTTCAGGAGTGACTTTTCTGGTGTTAGCCATGGGTTCAAGGCTCTTTTCACCAGCTCTCTCACTGCAAATGAAGGTAAAAATCTAACATATATAACTTTAATGCTAAACAATTGTAATTGTTATGAGACAAACACTTTGTCTCTCTAATGCCTTAAATGTTGTAAATAAGGGCATAAAATTATTGGTATTGCAGGCAGTGTGGATTGTACCTCAGACAACATGGTGATTGTACTACAGAGTTCTTACCTGAACTCACTAGGGCTGAGTGGAAATGACCTTTATGTTGATGACCATCTCTGCAGACCTAATATTAGCAGAACTGAAGTTGTGTTCAGATTCCCCCTCGACACATGTGGAACTGCCAAAGAGGTTTGATGTTGACATCCAACATGGCTCCAATGCCAAATCTGAAATCAGTAGCTTTCTGTCAAATATTTTACATATGGATTTGCTTAATCAGATTAGTTAAAGATGAATCACCCACATCACCCACTCTCCATCTATCTTTCCCTTTAGATGATGAACGGTTTTGTGTCCTACACAAACAATGTGCGGGCATCTCCATCTCAGTCAGGTGTAATCACTTATCAGTCACTTTATCTTCTGCAAGTGGGCTGCCGAATGGAGCCGGACACTGTTGTGCAGATCTTCTACAAGGCCAAAGAAATTGTCAATGCCAACATAACAGGAATGGGCCGCTTCAATGCCAGCATTGCCTTCTACACCTCTAGAAACTTCACCCAGCAGATTTACGACTCTCCATATGAAGTGAATCTGAATCAGCAACTGTTTGTTCAAGTCAAGCTAACCAGGTCTGACAAGAGCCTGGATCTCTTTCTGGACACTTGTGTAGCATCTCCAAATCCCAATGACTTTAAAAACCGCTCCTATGACCTGCTGCGTAATGGGTAAGACTTGTTCATTCTTAGTTGTTACTTCACCAAATATTTTATTATATGCCAATGTGACATTGGAATCATTCAGTAAACTGTTTTCGTACTCATTTGTACTAATGGTCAAAACAGTTCAATGACTGGACTGCTCAAACTGAATTTTTCTGTAGATGTCCCAGAGATAGCACATATCTTTCCTACACCAATGGCATGGATCAATATGCTCAGTTCAGTTTCCGGGCTTTCAAGTTCCTCCAGACTCATGCCTATGTGCACCTGCAGTGTAAGGTGATCATCTGCCCTGATAATGATTACAACTCTCGCTGCCGTAAAGGTTGCCAATATCGGCGCAAGAGATCCCTTGACAGCTCCTACAACACCAGTACTGTGACGCTGGGCCCGATCAAACTCAGAGGTCAGGGGCCAGTAGCAGGTATGACTTCTAATGATTTTAACTGTCAGTTCTTATGGATTAATACTGATTTCTTCCTAATGACTGACTACTCACTGTTTTTAAGGTATGATGTGAAGGAATCTGAGAAGTCGATGAAGTGAACTAAGCATCTTCTCAAGCTATCTAACTAACTATTGAATGACTATTGATTAATCTTTAATCATTAAACAAAGCAAGACATTGTATTTTTAAAAATTGTTTTTTTATTTTTTAATAAAGCATTTCTAAATAGCAGTTCTGCTCATGTGTGTCCATAATTGTGTACATTTACTTGTATTCATTCACTGTGTTTGTATAGACAATCAAAACATGATAAATCAAAGTCTGAAAGTCAATGACAAACATGACATGTTCTTTTACTTTTTTACCGCTTTAAAAAGCATGGGTTTCATTTTACAGAGAACAAAAATTTAAAGCTTTTCTAAAAAGTCTTTTAGCAGATTTTTAATATATTATTTAACTTTAATGTTTATTTATTTTCATCAACATTAAAACTAAAAATGTTTTTTGCTAAATCATTGTAATTGGTCAAATACAACTGTGAATTTTATGATGTGAAATTTATGAAGTTGATGCAATGAAGCAATTCAGAATGAACCAGGCTTCCCAAAGCAATAAGAGTGATCGAATTGGAGCAAGGTTGACTGAGAGAGCAAAAGAATAGTGTGTGATGTTAAAATCTCTACAGACTACAGCTGCATGTCGTACTTATCACAAATTTAAGATGTCAACACTTGACATTTGCTTGGAACTGTTCACACCGTCAGACTTGGTAATGCAACACTAAAACAAAATATTATCAACACCTAAACAAAAGCTACACTCAGTCACAGGGTTCCAGACCTGAAGCTTTCATTCATCTAATTAAAAAAAATTAGGGTAATGGTTCACGCCTACATTTTTTCACTTGACCCAATGAAAACTAAATAATTTGCCTTCAACAATATTTTCTAGCATGAGAACAATTTTATATAACCTGCAACAAAGCATATTTGTCTTGTTGAAGAAAATCAATCAGTTTAAATTCTCTTTTTGTTTTAAACAAGAAGATATAGCTTTAAACAACAATTCCCATAAAATGTCCATTCCTCCAATTAAAAAATTTGGTTTTACATCTTAATTTAATCAGTTAAGCCAATAAAAATATAAATAATTTGCCTTAAACAATATTGTTTTAAAGTCCATGAAAGTTAAAATTGTATTGTAATGATTGCTGTATGTATAGGCAACTGGAGATAGGAGAACACTCCGCGCAACCCTTAGTGTCTTAACCTGGCAGATTAAGTAGGAGGCAGCACTATCAATTTACCTTTTTTATTCTGAGCTTAGAACATGAACAGCCCTCAACAGAATCATACCACTGGGTAGCTTCCTTTTCACCCTACCCAACTTGATGTTGATGACAAATATTTTATAAATAAATTAAATATTGAGCTTAAATCACAGAAGCCAACTTAAACATAAACACACATAAAGTTTATAACAAAACAACCCATGCATTTTAACTAATATAACACATAAACTAATTCTAATTCATTTTCTATGATGCACCTGGCTATAGAGCTGTGGGCCAGGTCATTACTGTGTAAGTAACTTTAAAATTTTAAATTGGTCAAAACAAGTATTTCTTAGTTCAGCTCTTAATGAAAAACATTTATATATTAACGTGTTATTTAACATAGTTCATTTTTTGAACTTTAAATATATTAATTGAAAAATAAAACAAATAATGTTAAATTGAAATGAAAGAAACATTTTTAATTAGATGAAGTGCTGCTTAAAAACAAATTTTCAGTGTAGAGGATTTTCTTAAAAGATTTCCATTTTCCAAAATTCCAAAATTACAGTTCTAAGCACTTTTTACTAAAGATTCAATAATGCTTTTTCAATTTAATGGTAAAATTATGTTGTGTTAACACTTGTTAACAGTAAATTACTGTAAACTATACATGAAGCATGTTTTGGGTATAGAACTCACAAAAATGTTTGTGAAAATACACACCACAAACTACATATACATTCTCAGAATTTTTTTTAAAAAGGTACACATTTGTACCTAAAAGGTCCATATTAATACCTCAATGATAAATATTAATACCTAAAAAGTACAAAATTGTACTTCTCAAATGTTTTAGGTAGTAATAAATACTTGAGATACCTAGACCCCGTTTACACTAATGCGTTTTAGTTTGAAAACGCATAAGTTTTGCTACGGTTACGCCATCCGTCCACACTACGCCGGAGTTCTCAAGCGCCGAAAACGGAGCGTTTCGAAAACGCTGGAGAGGTCGTTTTCATTCTAAAACGCTGCTGCTCCGTCTCAGTGTGGATGGGGAAAGACGGAGACATCTGAAAACGGAGGCGGGGCTGCAGACATTCGCCTCTCTGATTGGGGCTTTTCCTCAATATTAAGTAGCCTAACACACAGTTCAGTCCTGAATCTTCTCCGTGTAAGTTCAGACTTCGCAAGTTTGATCAAGGCTGCATCTCTTCTTCTCAGTTTGATATGGAAAACATACCGAGGACCAGTGTCAATCTTCACAGGGAACAGTGTACTTTATAACTTCATTCACATCACCTTGGCTACGTTGTTTCACTTTCTCAACAATAAAATGTAAACTTGATATAAGGAACTGCCTATTTTTATTTTAATATTAACAACTAAACAGACAGCAGAAATGTTGAGGCGTCGTGCTGCATGAGCGTCATCTTCATTGTGTGCATATTTATAACAAAACGGAGCCGATAACAACTGCCTCCTTTCAATTTCAGTGAAAATACGAAACATACCCTCTCTTTTGCTGAATATCAGTTTTAATAATCGATAATGGCCATTATAAAAGTATAACATACAATAAGTTTATACATTATAGGAAATAAAGGCAAGCGATCAGTCAATATACAGAATGTAGGCTACGTGCTTACATTAATCATTAACTTATCTTTGCGCTCAGCCAAAACATGTTACCTGAGAACAAGTAATAGATTCCAATGACCAAAGTCAGGGAATATGTCGTTAGATAAAGACAACAAGATGAATGAAATATCACGTTTAATAAAAATAGTGAGATTAGATCCAGCGGGAGATGCTTGATGAGAAGTCCGACTAGCAGAGCTCTCATCTGGGTAGATGGGCTCCAGCGATTGCCAAAAGTGTGTGTGTGTGGTCACGTGATGTGCGTTTTCAGCGTTTTGGTGTGGACGGAGAGCTGTTCAGAAACGCTGGGTAAAACGCGAGTGTGGACGCGGATCGTTTTCATTCTAAAACGCCGTTTTAAAACTAAAACGCGCTAGTGTAAACGGGGCCTAAGTACAAATGTGTACCTTTTGAAAGGGTACCACCCCAGTGACAAATCTCGTACCTTTATTTCTGAGAGTGTACATTACTGTAAATATGTACACTCTAAAAACTTTGAGTTATTTGTTTAACCTGATGTTCGAGTTAAAAATATTTGGTGCTTTGTTTGGTTATTAATAACCTTTATTAGGTTATTTATTTAATAACTCAACCAGTTGGGTTAATACGTTTGAACTTCAACAGTCAATTGATTTAACTAACACAGAACAGCTATATTATTATGCACATGTAATGTTGTTTTTGCGTTACAGTTTATTTAAAGGGGTGGTCCAGAATGTAATTTTAGGGCTTGGTTGTGTTTATAAGATGCAAAGCAATGTGTGCTCATGTTTCAAATTTCCATGAAGGAAATTGCATTATTTTTTCATAAATCTCACTTTGATTTTATACAGCTACTCAGCTAACATGAAAACGACTGTCATATTTCCTAGTTACTCTGAAAGGCCCGCCCTCAAGTGACTCAGATTGGTCATGTGTCATAATGTGCTGTGATTCACGGATTGGCTCTGTCACGCCTGTACAAGCACGTGCGTTTTGTGTAAACGGTCAGTCAATCTCATGCTCCCTCTTAAAATTAAAAGCTGACAAGTGTCTGTAACGAGTGAAAATGGGGTGCGGTTCCTTTAAGAGAGTTTGCCATTGTGTGTGTGTGTGTGTGTGTGTGTGTGTGTGTGTGTGTGTGTTTGTCTATGTGTGCGCTTGTGTATGAACTGTCTGTAGATGCGTGTAACACAAATGTGCATGTGAGTGGTTATGCGTGTCCGTTGTTTGTTTTTATTTTTCTCTGATGCTCTGATTAAGTTATTTTCTGTAATATACAGTGACACTGTTGACTGAAGATTAAAGCACAAGATTTGAGATGTTACCTGAGTGAGCCTAGATTGATTTTTCTGCTGCTAGTTAGGCGAGCTCTCCTGTATTTTTTTAACAATGCATTACACGACATCTTTCACATATATTTAGAATATGCCTGTGTAAGTAATATGAATCATTCACATCTTTTGCGACTTCATTATCTGAGATGTAAAAACGCATAAAAAAAGCTGTCTATAGAGAAACACTGCACAGTCGCACAAGCATAGAGAGACACGCACGCGCTGCTGAAGTGTGTGTGTGTTTACAGCAGTTTGACAGATAAATATGAATTAGTAGCTAAATCGTTAGCGGTGCCAAACAGCATTTCCCATTGTTTATATCTTTGCTACAGCATACCTTTAATGCTAGACAAATGCAAAATGCAGGTTGTGGCCTCAGAGTCCACAGCTTCTGCTTGTTGGAGCTGCCCCTTCTTTGAGGAGTTTTTAACCAAATCCAGCACTGAACTGGGAGAGATTCTGGAGCTGTTTTGTCAAATCATGCTTGCTATGTTTTTTATAATTCTCTGGAACATAATAAATATTGAACTGAAGCACTTCTGTCTTTGTGTCGTGTCCTTTGGAAGCCCAAATACAGAAACAGCTCTGTGGAAATAGCAGGATGGCATTTTTTCCCACTACTGTAACATTACAGCGCCTCTGGCCACAGCCCTTAGCTGCGCACTGTGTGTGTACTGTAAAAGTATGTTTGTGATTTCACAGGCCCGGAAGTATTTTTTTTTTGTAGTCCCCAAAATTCGTTCATTGTAGGCTTTGCTAAGCTAACTCTTTAAAAACCAAGGTCTCCCTTTGCATTGAACTTTGAGCGTTTTACATTCAGAGATGCTGTTTATGTTCAAACAGCTACTTTACACATCAACTGAAGTTTAAAATATGATATAGTAGTTGATGACCCCTTTAAGCTCTAACACAATAATATTGTTTTTTTTTAATATCAAATTACCTTTCCCTGTCGTGTTTTTTTATAGCCGTTTCCCCAGCACTCTTAATTATTGATGAAA